AATCAGTCTGTTAGCCCTCTAACACCCTAGGAAAATGTCACCTCAAGTTCCCATTTTGCTGGCATTTGATCAGCTTAGATTTGAAAGCAGATTGTTTGACATCTTGCAGAATAGCACGTGAGGTCCTCTGGCTAAGTCCCTTCTTCCAAAAAGTGGTTTTTTCCCCACTTCATCTTGCTGCCACTGATAAAAGAATTTTTGCCTTTGGCTATACTGAAGCAGGACTGGGTCCCCTTCGTTTTGGTCATTTATCTACAGGAGGTGCTTTTAGACTGTCAGATAGCACCTGAGGCCTAAAGGGGATTGCTAGACATCGCTAAGAAATTGGAGTACAACAGCTGAAAGGGATAGAAGGCTAAGAAAAATACTGTATCTACAGAAAGTTGGCTAAAGACCGTCTTTTTATAGACTTGTGTGTAGTTTTATTGGTGTGTCTTTCAACGCAGCACTAGAAGAAGCAATTCCTGGTTTCTAAGGTTGCCCTTGAAAGTGACCAATGGAGATTCAGATACTTCCATACAGTGTAGTCATTACATTAAGAAAAATCAGTATTAGCCAACTTCATGTGTCTTCATGTGCAGTGGGTTTACACCAGCTTACACATACTGTTATAAGTAGACAACTTTTTCTGGATATAGTGGTGCAAATGGAAGAGGTTACACTCCAAAGCCCCTCTCACTTGCCTGTCAGTACAAGCCTACACTCATATTCTGTTAGTGAGGTTAGTGGCTGAGCTTAGCAACCTCTCAGATCTGTTAGAGGACCTACTTATGTGGCCTCTCTCTGGCTGACTCATGTCAAAATCAATTAGTCACCTCTAGTAGAGGGGCTGTGATGGGCATTTCTGTCCAAACCATAAACAGGCCATACACCTTTCTCAGACACAACTGTTTACAAAATCTACATCTTTTTACACTCTTCAACAATTTAAAAGCTAGTTAAGCTTCCAGCTAGGTATTTTGCAATATACAGATAGAGTAATGAAGCAGAACTGGATGTTCAGTCAGAAGAAAGACAAGACCTCTGCAAGAACAGCTTCCAGGCAGTAAAAATTGAAAGGCATTTCTGGTTTGATAGAAGCCTTTCCAGTTCACAGAATGCTTGGTTCCTACCCAAGGTTAATCCTTTGTTGTTGTTGTGTTTATACACAAACTTTTTGCCAAAGTTCTCATTTCCAGTTGTTCTTCAGGATGCTCAAATGGGGCATATCTGTTCTGGCTTCATGCCTTTAAAGTAGACCAGAAACAAACTTGACCCCATATTTTCAAAACCTAAATGTGATTTCTTCTTCCTCATCATCTTATTCACTGCTGTGTCCTGTGATATCCCTTCTTCATCTGTTTTTTCACCATGATCCAAGTAATGGATTAAGATTTTCATGCTATAGAAACTGATTCTACAGCTGAACCAACTCCCCAGTAAACTCCCTCAGACAGGCTTGTGTGAAAAGGGCTGTCATTTCATTAGGAATCCAGATGCCCTGTTCCTCTTGAGGATGTTTAATTCACATGACTGTGTTTGATAAGGGAAGGTCAGTTTCCCTCAAAAGTAATAGTTTCTAGCTCTTTTGTTGTCTTTATACAGTCAAAAAAGTAGAAAAAGTAAAGATGCAGGTTGACAAAAGACAAGTTGCTCCCTTACAGTTTACTAAATAATATTGCCAAATCTAATAAAGCCAAATTGCATGTAAAGTGACCCTGGCATATGAATTTACTAATGTGTGATTGTTATTAAGTGTTAAATTCAGATGCAAATCTGTAGTTCATTATCTTTTATAATCAATTCAATTTCTTTCATTGACCCTAGATTTCAATGACTATTTGGACAAAAGTTGCACATACGATAAAACAAAATGTACCAAAATAGAATAAAATAATTTAGAAAGAAATCTGATAAATAGGTGGATGTTTGTGGCAAAAAGATGGGTTAGCCTCACCTCAGTGTACCTTTCATATCTATGCAAGAAGAGTAGATTAAATTCTTCCACGGGAAAATCTATTGACTTGAAACAGCCCACATAAGGAATGAATATGTTGCAAAGATTAGAATGGGGAGGATATTTTAGGCTAATTTGCGTAGTTGGATGGCACTACCTTCTTCATAGAAGTCAGCAGAAGATTTGTCTTTGACCTCAGAGCACAAATTGGCACTGAAAGCCCTTTGCTACTTTTTCCAGGCACAAAAATGTTAACCTTTATATCCTGGCCAAACTCCAAAGTGGGTGATTACATTCTGCTGCTCTAATTTTTCCCTGCAGGCTCAACCAGATCTAGCAATATTTCCTGATGTGTAGTGTTACTGTGAACAATCAAGTCCCATTTTGCAAGGTTATTGTTGACTTTCCTTCTTGCCTCCTAATATGTCTGCTTTGCCTTATCAGTCATAGCTTGTTTGAAGGTCAGAATTGTTTGGTTCTGGATCACAACTTTTATTAAATTGGGGGACCATTAATATGTGCAGTGCTACAACAATAACAATGTCTTTACATAATTTTTACTCTCATATCATATACATAGTGTAGCCTGGCTATAAAAGGAAATTAAATGTATTTTTTCCCCCAAGCACTCACACAGTTATATTTTTGTCAAATATCACATCATGCTAGTCTTGAAAACCAAAAGTAAAAAATACAGCCCAAAATTACAGGGCATTCTGAGTGTGTTTAAAACTCAGTTGCCAATTTGCTTGTAAAATAACACATCACTTACCTCTACATTGCATTAAAGCAATAATTTATTATACTTTAAAGAGATTATGATTTCCATGGCCATACAATCTAATAATTTTTGGAAGAAGTTTGTACATCATTATATGAATTCTGTTAGCAGAATTCATTTAATTCATACTTAGTATTGATCTAAGACATTAATTTTATTCTTAGAAAAAGCATTCACTACAAAAGTTAAGCAGCTCTGGTGTAACTGCTGATTTCACTTTGGCTCTATATAGCTGTAATGCCTGCACTCTGGATAGTTGCTTATTGAGTGACTTAAGTTAGAAATATCAGCACTGAAATCACTTGGTATAAGCACTTCTACATAAAAAAGAGGATACAGTGCTCCCTCCCCCAGCATGGTCTCAAATAAAAGAGCACTAAGTACAGTATGGTGGATCACCCATACGGAGAAGCCACACAGATTCTAGCTCTGGGGACGTGAATTGGTTTCTTAGTCTCAGTACCACAGGGTTAAATGAAATGTTACCACAGTAATTTATTATTAAGAGAAATGGTGATGGCTTAGATTAAGAAGATTTGTCTGTCTCTTCTAATTAAGGTTAAGTTCTTAAGAAGCTTTACTATCCTTTGAAGATACAGAGACTAAAATTAGGACTCTGGTTCTGTTTAAAATGTCACTAGGTTGGTCCATAATCCTGTAGTGACTGCAGCAAGGGATCATTCTTCCAATGTTGTGATTCCTTGTTTGGAAGCTAGTGAGCCAGGACAAGACCCCATGAATCAAAGTCTGAGTAGTCTATTAATCAGCAACAAGTCGGTCCTGCAGAACATCGTAATGCTTTGTAGTGACCCCTTGAAGACTGCATAGTAAACAGGAAGCTGGCAAAGAAATCAGCTGTAAGACACAGTAAATTCTATTGCAGGCAGAGAGCAAATGGTAGCAGTAAGTGGGCTGTGTACAGAGGGTGAAGAAATGGTTAGGGGGGAAGATCTGTTTTCAGGCTGCGAGTGAAGTCATTTTACAGTGGCATTTATAATCCTATACGTGACAATAGCATCCTAGGCTCTAGTGTCCTCACTTGGTGGTCTACAGACAATGTCAAAACCTCAAAGCAATAGACTTTTCTTCCAACTTTTCTTATTCTGCCTCTATTTACACAGCATACAATGAACCTATGGAGCTCATTGTTACAGGATAGTAACAGCAAAAGCATAAATTTAGTTCAAAAATTTTTAGCAAATTTTAAGCTTGGATTCAGTTTTCCTTACAGATGCGTAGACATAGAGCAGCTCTGCCAAGATTAGTAAATTCCAGAAATGTAAACTGGTGAGATGGAAAAATCAGACCCGTTTATGAAGAACAAAACCTTCTTTGACAATATTTAGTATGATAAAACATTTGAAGGAAAAGAAGCCTTGATACTTCAAGTCACAAGTTGGTTTCTAGTTGGCTGGGATTAGGAAAATACTTTTCCAATAGGTAAGACATTAAATTATGATTCACTACAGGATGCCTTTCTGTAAATGATTTGATGCTGCATTGCAGGTGAGACAAAACAGGGAGAGTGTGTGGACCAACATTCTTCTGCAGTATGCCAGGTCTTACATACTCGTCAGATAGAACAGTGTGCTGGGAGCCACTAAATTGCTATTCAGCAGCTCACAGAGGAAATCATCTTTTAATTTGGTTTAGTGAAACAAATCAAGTTTATATGTATATTGGTATGGATGAACTGCAAGTTCTGAGTTTCAGGTATCTGACCAAGAAAATCTCTCATCAATGAATTCAGTAAGAGTCTACAAGCTTTCACTGATCAATCTGTAGAGCAATGAATGAAACTCAATTGCTCTGTTGGACTGTGTTTATAAACCTTTCATGTTACAGTGCATCTCTTTTGCTTTGCCATTCTTTTTCTCTTACATTAACTGTGTCATGTTTTTATAGACAAAAGCATCCAATTAAGCAACAAAATCAATGCCCTACCAGACAGATAACCACTCACAAAGTTTGAACAGCACGTACTCATGAAGAATCTCCTGAGTAAAATCTATCTGCCCCACAGACTCTTGTGAATAGTTTCAGTGATGAGTAAAAAGGCTCAAAAAGATGACAGGAAGTCACTTAGTTCAGTCCCCTTTATTTACTCTTACTCAGATTAAGATAAGGGTGAATGATACCTACCTTTTGTGACCAAAGAAGCAGGGTGGTTCACAAAGTATTTTTTTATTATGAGAGAAGGGCACAGTTGTAATCAGTATGCTTTGCTTTGAGCAATTCAGTCTACTTTAGCATGTCCAAAACCTGGTTTCTATTGCAGCAGGCATGAGCAGTTCCTGTGTGACACTGGCCGAGGTCCTGTGGGCAAAAGGAAGCCCTTTGGAGGAAGAAGAAATATGGGCACTCTTGTACCTGGCCACAGCGCAGCTCCTGGAGGACCTTCACAAAGGTGAGGTGAAAAGTATCTTCTTATAGTTCTTACTGTTGGAAATTCATTCTTGAGGTATTTTAGCTCTTTTGAGGGTTTGGGGTTTTTTTTGAGACAAAAAGCACTAATGGCAATAATAGCATATTGCTAATGAAAATGAGAAATATTTCAGTGCTGCTGGAATTACATGCAGACCGCTCTGCCTACATAAGAGATCTTCATACAGGTTTGGGTTTTTTTTCCCCAAATTACATGTCAGATATTAATTCATCTAAGTAAGTACAACTACACAGTGGAACAGGTCAGAAGAGTCCTTCCTTAAGTCTGAATAACATACACACACAGGAAGAGCACTGCCAGCTAGGATCATGTCCTTCATGTACTGATAGAGTAGGACAGGCAAATCCACATGGCTCCTCATTCAGCTAGTAAGACTTTTATCCTTGATTATAATTATGTGACTTACCATAATGGCTAGGCAAGTCATCATGATGAATGCTTGCCAAGCAGGCCAGCTGTACAAGAGAGCTCAGCTGAGCAACCTGTCACATTTTGAGAACTGTTTATGACAATGGATATTCCTTTTGAGGAGAGAATGGATGAGATGTGTTCTTACCTCACGAGCATGTAGAAACAAAATACAAAATACTGAAAACAAGTGATGTGTAACTTCTGCTATAGCTGGAGGGGTGAACTTTTATTGCCAACTAGTTTTTAATGGACTGAAACACTATAGCAGGTTGAGTATACCATCAGTTCTCTATTGTCTACTGTAACAAGAGGATAGAATAGCCTAGACAAGACAGGCACCACAAATGTGCAAAGGAGTGCAGCACAGAGATACCCACCTGGATAGATTCAGCTCAGCTCCATCACAATTTATTAACTCTGTGCCAGACACCATGCTCTCCTGATATCTTGTTTTAAAACAAAACAAAACAAAACAAAACAAAACAAAAAAAAAACCCAAAACCAAAAAACTTGTTGGATGTCTATAGAACTGAGATAATCAGCCTATGTTCCTTGTGCTGTATCAGATAAATTTAGGGTATTATGATCAGAAAATGAAGAGTAAAGCAAGAGGAAGTAGGGATGTAGAACCAAGCTGGTCTATAGATCAAGTGCAAGGCTGCTTAAACATGTCTTTAGACAGCTCAAGTCTAGAAGTGATGCCAAATTGGACTCATTCTGAAGCTGAATCCCCAGTGCTCCAGTCTCTTGAAGGGCAGCAAAGGTGAACTGCCCCTGCATAGCATCATCCCAGTTGACTAAGGCGTGTCTCTGGCTCCACATCTCTTACAGCTATACTGCTTCCGGAATCAGCCTCTTCTCAGGGCTAGTACTGCCACATTAGTGCTGCACTGTGCTTGACGAAATAAATGCTAGAGCTGGTGATGGTCAGCACCACTTGCTATAGCAATATTTCCAATGCGTTTGGCCACTGACTGGTTAGGCAGGTATGCTCACTTGTTGGGTGGCCAACATTACAGAAGGCCAGGTAATCTTCATTGAGGCTGAAATACAAGCTGGCTATTCCCTTCTAAAACAGACAAATTTCCCAGCATGTGCTAGTTGTATTTGCATACAATACTACAGAAAATAGGGAAGGAGCAAAAGAGGAGGCTAGCTGATGATTTTAAGACCTTTAATTTTCTAAAGAAGTAAATGCCACAACTGTTGCAATTATCAGTGTTACCTAAGTCTTGAATCTCTGGGTCCTCTGGCTATGCAAACCTCCTAGTTGTATATGAGTTCCCAGCATAACATTTTACCCATTTTTACCATCCATTTTCTTGATATAAAGGTCACCATGCATAAGAACTAAGTAGCCATTTTTTAATATATAATTTTCAAATGCTAAAATACCAAAGCATTTAGGGCATGTTTCTGAGCTCTTCTTCTATGGAGATCTGAATAGACTCTGTTCTCATAGTCTGGACTGAAGACAGTGGTTCCACAGCCAAAATTTTTTTTCTAAATTGCCTGTATTTCCAGGAACCCTATGTCTAAATATTGCCATAGTTAATGTAGCTTTTCCTCTTTCCAAAGTAAACAGATTGATCTTAGATGCTTTTTATCTTTTATTTTTAATGAACATTTTAATGAAATCACTTGGATGTCTTTGGTCAAATTCACTTCAACATATCTACGCAAGTGCGAAGTGTTTGCAGAAGACTGCACATCCTCATCCTTCCATTCACGC